GCAGGGCCACGTGCAGCCACCGTCGCGGAGGCTCGTGCGGAGCTGGACACGCAGCGCCGGCCCCTGCTAATGAGGCAGGACTTGACGAGGGCCAGAGCCGCACCGCCAAGAGGTGCAGAAACGAAAGCCACCGGGGCTCAGGCCGGAGGAGCAGCACGGGCGCCGTGACACCGGGAAGAAAGGAGGCGGCGACAGCAGCCAGGGTTCCCTGGAACCTTCCCTGATGACAGAGAGCAGGAGGTACGGATGGGTCAGATGGCGGTGGGAGGTGCTGTGGCATAGACAGCAGCGGTGCCGTGCCCTGCTCCTGTGCCAGCTGGCACCCGGCTCCCCCAGGGCCTGCCACTAGGATGCCGGACGGAACCTCGGGACTGACTCCACCGACTGAACGCTTTGGTCAAGCTGCCACCGTGGAAGGGACTGGGGCACCGGCGGAACCCCTCCTGCATTCAGCCGTGCAGCTCCTGGAGCTGAATTTGCTCCACAGAAAGGTCGCCGATGCTAATAAAGTTTCAGTCTCGGTTCCCAAAACCCTTAAAGGAAGGACCCTTTTTGAACTAACGGGAATTCTTCCCTGGAAAAGTGTTAGGAATTCGTCCCGTAGCAAGGCCTTCCCTGCCCGTACTNAGCTCCTGGAGCTGAATTTGCTCCACAGAAAGGTCGCCGATGCTAATAAAGTTTCAGTGTCTCGGTTCCCGAAACCCTTAAAGGAAGGACCCTTTTTGAACTAACGGGAATTCTTCCCTGGAAAAGTGTTAGGAATTCCTCCCAGGAAAAGTGTTAGGAATTCGTCCCGTAGCAAGGCCTTCCCTGCCCGTACTCTCTAGGGAATATGCTGGAGGCAGACGTCAGGAGGGTGCTATTTAACGAATCAGTTGTGTGGTATGTTTTTAATCATCGTGTGGTGCCTTCCTGAAGTCTCCAGTGGGATTGTTGAGGGGCCCCCATGGCGAAACGGACCCAGTTGGAGCCCCATTAGTCTTGATCGTTCCGTGTTTTGTCCGTTCTATTTTATCTGCTTTCTCACCCTACACCTTCCAGCCCTGGAGACTCTGCC